ACGACCAGTTGCCAGACCTCAACTTTGAACGCAGCTGCAACTGCCAACTGCTTCTCATCCCCCTGCCAGCAATCCCAAACAGAAAAAAGATATGTCGGATCCTGAGAGAAGTCATCAGCAGTCGGCAATCTGCTCTGGCCATCCAACCCGCACAGAGGGTCCGCCGCCGAACGACGTGCGATCCGTATTTCGTGCTCGGAAGGAACAGAGGTGAGAGACCATACCGGGGCAGCCAGTCATCGGCAGGCCGGCACATCTTTCTCACACAAGTCCCCACGCAGCTGGCGAGCGTCTCGTGCATGCCAGGTATGTCAACCTTGAGGGTACCGCGCTGCTCTCAGCTACTTTCTCCTTCGCGTGCCAATCATTCATGAAATCCATCAGAAGCTGACAGCCTGACAATCAGACTTGTCGATATAGGAAGGTAAAGCTCCCCACACAACACAACTGAAGACCCCTTTGCGCACCCCTCTTACTAACTGCTTCACACTGCATGTCCTTTACTTGCCTACCATGGATGTCCGGCGTAGCAACAGTGTGGTTCTGGGCTGACTTTTCAGGTTCGATGCGATGCCGTTAGTCGAGGTGTGCCCTGTACCAACTGTGTGGCTTTCAAAATAGATTGCCAAATGCAGGGCTCAACACAACCTGCACAACAACGTAACACGCAACGAGCCCTTCAGAGACAGCTTTCGACACCGCCTTCTCGTGACCGTCACACTCCTAGCTTGGGGCTCGGTGACGCATCCTCACAGAAGTATGGGGACCCTGTCGCCATGGCGGTAGATAGTTACGTCAATCTCATTTTGCGGCCGAAATCAGATTGTGCAGCCATCACCGACGCCGGACGAGTGGCCTTCCTCGGGGAGTCTTCCGGCGTATCTCTGCTAACCCGTCAGAGCTTGCAGGGTGCAGTGCATTACCCGATACCTTGGCCTGCAGCAGGTCCAAGCAAAGATCCTCACGACATTGAGAACCGTGTCTTGCAGCAGAGGGGTGCCTTCCTTTTACCACCGCGGCAGATCTGCGATGAACTCATCGACTCTTATTTTACGTGGATACACCCTGTCGTGCCCATCATCAACCAGACACACTTCAGGCGACAGTATCGAGACCCGCTGAGCCCCCCATCCATGCTCTTGCTCCAGTCCATATTCCTTGCGAGCACGCACGTCTGTGACAACATGACGCTGCGGGATGCCGACGGTTCGACAAAGACCATGGCCTTGACCTTGTACAAGCGAGCCAAGGCGTTGTACGACGCAAATCACGAGACCGACCGCGTCGCCATCATCCAGTCCATGATCTTGATAGGGTGGTACTGGGGCGGCCGGGAGGACGTCCTCGAGGAGGCATTTGACTGGACGCGTGCCGCCATTATTGTAGCCCAGGGGACGGGGATGCACCGTTCCGTCGCGCGGTCTCTCCTCAGTACCACCGACAAGAGGCTCTGGAAGCGGATTTGGTGGACCCTCTTCACGCGTGACCGGCTCCTGGCCCTTACGTTAGGCCGGCCGATGCTCATCAACCTCGCCGACTCGGACGTTGAGATGATTCGCGACGAGGACTTTAACGAGGATGAGCCGGGTCGTGCCAGCAAAGTGCCGCCGAATCCAGCGCACGTGCAGTTCTTCCTTCGATACGTAGCACTCTGCGAGATTCTGGGCGAGATCCTTTCGCGGCAGTGCTCCATGTGGGCGCAGACTCGCTTTAAGGAACTGGACATTGACGACGTCCTGCTCCACGAGTCAGCTCTAGCGCGCTGGCACCGAGAATGCCCGGCCATCGTCAGCCTTGACAGTCCAGAGCGGGATCACTTTTGGGCAGCTGTCCTGCATTCAAAGTATTACACGACGCTGTGCCTGCTGCACAGGAGTCGGCTAACGGCCGTCCGCGAGCCGTTCCCAGCGGCGCTTGTGCCGTCGCGCAGGGCGGCTGTCGAGGCGGCAGCCATGATCACGGGCATCATTCAGGGGTTTTCAGCACACGGCCAGCTCCGACGATGCCCGTCGTTCATCATCTATAGCTTGCTCACAGCATTTGTCATCCACCGGTACCAAAAGTTGTTCATCTCGTCGACCTCGCCGCAGGCCGTGCAAAGCAAGACCCGAGACTACTGGTCTGCGCTGCTTGAGATATCGAGGACATGGCTGATGGGTGGGTTGGTAAACTCCATGTTGAGAAGTGTTGCTGAGAGTTGGGAGTCTGGCAAGCGCGTGCCGCATTCCAACACGCCCTCGCTCTCGTTCGTGGGGGACATGATGGGCGTGGAGCTATCCGATGAAAGGCATGTTAAGGATGAGCCGGCGGCGGCGGCGGCAGCGGCGGCCATTGATACAGTGGAGGCGAATAGGCAGTATCCTGACCTGCCTCCATTGCTCCTCGGCCGAGAAGTAAACGATTGGTGCGTTTTCAACTGGATTGCATTGTTGCCAAGGACTGGTGTGCTGACAGCTGGCAGGTTGCAATTTTTTGGCGTCGACCACTACGACATGAGATGATGGCGGCACGGTAAATCTAAATGGGAACTTGGGATAAAGGCATCGATATCGACATGTAATAGATTGGAGGCTGAACAGAAAGAAGAAAAATGTCTGGGTCGACTCGGACAAGACTGTCAACACATCTGGCAGCACATCTGCGTGCCTGGAGGCGAAACAAAGGGACAAGCAGCTCTCACTAGTGCCTCGTTCCCTGATTTTTCCACCCTGATGAGGATGTTTGAGGACATGTTGAAATTGAAATATAGAAAAGGGCAGGAAGGCCATCTTAGTTCACGTGATGCAGACAAGACAGACTGGGCGCGTGACACATGGGTGCAGCCAGCAGAGAAGAGAACCCTTAGTCAGCAAACACATGGCAATGTCTGGTCGCCCATCGCGACCCGACCCGCTATTTTGTGCCAGCTCCTCGTCCCTGACTTTATTGCCTGAAAGTACCACGAGCAGAGGACGCATCAGTGAAGCTAAAGCTACTGCCTGCAAAGAAATCGCAGACACCGCATCCAACACCATACACACCAACCACCAACGAGAAATAAACCAACATTGACGACTCCTCACAAACGGACCCCTTGCACAAGTCGATTTCAGAGCAACCAAATCCGAGTGTCGACTCTTCCTGCGCTCGCCCTCAATGGCGCCCCTCATCCTGCACAATGTTCCCGACGACGAACTCTATGTTGGCGATGATGGCGTGAAGAGGCCATATGCCATGGTTTTCCCACAGTATGTTTTCGCTGCCTACCAGTTCGTCTTCTATAATGGAACGCGTGGCTGACATCTCCCTCCCTCCCCCCGCCACAGACAAGATGGCCTTCCTGGCGTCCGATCCCGACGAGGCGTCACAGAAACTGGCTCCTTTGGCCGCTCCACACGACGCTCTCGCTCTCGAACAGGCACGCCCGCGCGCCGCGAGAACCCAACCCTCGCTGCCGCCGACAAGCTCTTCGGCAGCTGGGTTTCCAACAATGCTGCGACAAACACCAGCGCCAACACATCCGCACCCGCCGGCAACCTGCTGGGCAACGCACCGCAACGCAAAACGAGCAGCCAGCACCTTCAACAGGACGACGCCGCCGCCTCGGGCGCGTCTTCAACTCAGCGCCTGCTCAAGTCAGAGCCCACAGAAGTCATTCTCCGCGGCTACCGCTCCTCCGCCCAGCAGTACGCCGCCATCAACCACTACGAGCACCTCGCCGGTCTCATCTGCGAGGACTATCCCCGCGAGCCGCCCCCCGAGCAGCGCCGCTACAAGGGCGACCTCCGTGACCCGGCCTTCACGCGCCGCCGCGCGCTGACGCCCGAGGAACGCGCCAAGGTCAACAGGGCCGATGGCGGCGAGCATTGGGTCAAGGTCACCTTCGAGAGCCTCGAGGCTGCCGACGCCGCCCTCTTCTCGAGCCCCCAGACCATCCAGGGCTGCCAGGTCTTTGCCGAGCTCTACCGCGGCTTCCCGCCTCACAAGGACGAGGCCATCCTCGACGCCGACAGTCTCGTCGCCTCGATCGACGAGCACCACCGCTCCCAGTCCGTTCCCGGTCCCGGCTTCGGCGCCTTCGGCACGAGCGCCCGCCGCCGCGCCGGCTCGCGCCCCGGCGCACCCCAGCGCACCCACAGCGACCTCTCGCCGCCGGGCTCCCACGCCTCCTCCCAGACCCTCGACACGGCCACCCTCTCCCAGCGCTCCGCCACAACCTCTTCAGGCACCCTGCCCCTGACGACGACACCGGCCGCCTTCTCCTCGGGCTCCGCCGCCGCCGCCGCCACCATCGACCCCAAGGACGACCTCTTCTGCACCCACATCCCGACGGCCCGCAAGGTGACCCTGAAGCCCGTCGAGCAGGCCATCCTGCCCTCGCAGAGCTTCACCGCCAAGCTCCTCGCCGCCGTGCCCTTTCTCATGTGGTTCGTCGGCGGCTTCGGCGCCATGATCGGCAACGAGGTCCCGCGCAGGGACGACGGCGACTTTGACTATGACCGCGCGAGCCTCTACTGGAAGTTCATCTGGTGGCTCGACGCCACCTTTGGCCTCTTTGGCGGCGAGATTGTCAGCGCTGTGGACAAGGATGACTGATCGTGGGAGACTCGAAGTCTTGGGAGGGAGACAGGACAAGACGGGCTTGGAAGACGGGGCGGCAATCTTTTTTCTGCGTCTTCTCTTCGGACTTGGCGACACTTTCACAGACACACGACATACGGCGGCGTTAGCGCTGCCCCCCTTTTTTTCGGGCACGCAGCAGGGCGTTTCAACATGTGGGGTTGTTTGCAAACACACAGCAGAGGAGGCGTGCACGCCCCAAGGGGGAAGAGGCAAATCATGTATGAAAAGGCTGTACAAAATACCCTCCTCGCCCTTGCGGGCGGTGGGAATCACGTCCGTGAATGGACGCCTCTAGATAAATGTCTTTGGGCCGCGGGGGTATAAAAACTAATGAAAGCCACACTGCAAATATGCATCCACCGTCCTCTCTCTTTCACGTTCTCTCTCTCCCTGATTTCTTACTCGCTTCTCTCATCCGAGTTGACGCTCCACCGCCTGGCGCGCCCTCGCTCACCGTCGTCATCCTTGGCTCCATCCTCTAGCGTCTCGTCCGCGGCTTGGACACCGCCGCTCTCCGCCATGTCTTCGCTCGCATGAGTCTCTCTCGTAGGAGCACCGTCTCTGTGTAGCTCTTCGTCGTCGTGCTCCTCAGCGCGCTCCTCGTGCTGCTCGTCGTGCTCCTCTTCCACGGCAGCCTCGAGCCTCTGGACAACAAGATGACCGAGACCCGCATCTGCCATGCCGACGACGCCCAGTGTATCATCGTAAGTCACATTGGTAGGGTCGCGACGGATGGGCTGGGGACTGAACGGTCGGGCCCCTCTTGGCCGGTTGAAGCCGGAACTCGAGAAGACACTGGCCGTTTCGGCCTCGTCGCCGCCGGGCGACACCGTCGCGGCACCGATCAGGCTCTGATAGCGCTCTGGATCGTCCACAAGCAGGCTGTCGCTGCGGCCGTGGCCTCCACCACCCGCCGCCGTTGTCCGCGCTGCATCGCCCCCTGATGATGCGTCAGCAAGGATGCTCCGCGGCGGCAGGATGCTGAAGAGCTTGGCAGGGTCCGCCGACGACACGCCACCGCCGCCGCCAATGCCGCCATCATCCTGTGCTTCGCTCGCAAACAAGTCACGGCCGCGTTCGAGCAAATCCTCGAGACCGCCGCCGGTCCAGCCCTTTCGAGCGAGTGACTCGAATATGTCAACCTCGGCGCGCACGAGCGAGCAACTGGCATCGACAATTTTGCCGCTCGTGTCTTGGGATTCCCGCAGCAGCGTGCGGGCGTGATCGCCGTGGAGAGAGGTCAGGCCGTCGAGTTTCGTGGTGAGGTCGACAAGGTGGGCGCGGAAGCCGTTGACGTCGCGTCGACGCTGGCGATGAAGCTTGAGTCCCTCCTTCTCGAGGCGGCGGATTTCCTTGCTCTTGTCGCGGATGTTGGCGGCGTAGCTCTCGTCTTCGTCCTCGACGACCTGACGCCACTTGTCGAGGTCGTGGAGGAGAGGCACCTCGAAGCTGCGGTAGACAGTCTCCGAGAGGATATGGTGGTGGTTAGCGACGAGATGATGGACGCCGGAGGCGGAGAGCAGCGTGTCGGCGGTGCAGGCCGAGGAGGCGGCGGCGTGGAACGAGTTGGAGAGGGAGGCGCCCTGGGGTGTCGGGCAGAGGGGTTCGGCACGGGCTTCTTTGAGGCGGGCGCAGGACTCGAGCGCCGAGCCAAAGGCAGAGGCCGCAGTCGACAAGGAAGCGAGGGCGAGGCGGTAGGATTTGGCCGTCGCTAGGAGGTCGGCATACGCGGCTTGGGAGGCATCGAGGTCGGCCTTGGACAGTACGGCATGGGATGGCCTCGGAGGTGGCGGCAGAGGCAGGTTGTAGGCAGAAAGAGGATTCGCCGTCGACGCAAGGGAGAAGCTTGGTGATCCTGGCACTGGCGGCAGCTGAGACGGTGTCGGCGAGGCGGCGCGGTGGTCGGGTGCTGGGGCGGACATGGAGGGCGGCATTTTGGGTGTAGATCCCCGCAGGACTTTGTTTACTTGACGAGACAACAAGCAAAGCAGTGGGGGTGTTGTCCACGTCAACAAAGCTAGGATGAATAGACCGACCTGGAAGCAAACACCATGACTCAGGGGGAGTGGAAATGGAGTTCACGGATGCGAGGTCTGTTGCTGGACTGGAGATGAGGGGGGAAATCAGTGTATTGAGAGGGAAGGAGACAGAGTTGCCAGGACTTGGCGGCGCGGCCATGCAGATGCAGGCATGCGCAGTACAAGGCCAAAAGGCATGTTGACCCTGAAATGCCCTGCAGGCAGGTTCAGCTGATGTGGGTCACGACTTCCCTGTAATGCGTACTAACACGTGAAGGTGAGCGACCCCACCACAATCACGCTCACCTTGCTCACCTCCCTCACCTCAGACGCCTCACTCGCCTCACTCGCCTCGCTCACCTTGCTCACCTTGGCCCCGGTGAGAGTCGCCCCCACTCTGACGCCGCTGCCCCACCAACCTCAAAACAACGATCCAGACATTGACTGACTTTCAGGAGAGAAGCCATCAGATACCCACCCGTCATCAGATGCGTCTGCGTATTCGGCTCTCCCTTCACTGCATCGCAATCATTCACGTCCTCGTTGTTTTCACAGCCCCAGCCACAGCCACAGAAGCGCACCCCGACCTCGCCTACGACACCCTCCTCGCCGCAGACGAATTCGCAGAGCTTCCCACCATGGCCTCGTCCCTGCGCCGCTCCGCCCCGCTGGTCTTCCCCGCGCCGGGCCGCCACACGGCGACCGTCATCTTCGCCCACGGCCTCGGCGACACGGGCCACGGCTGGGCGAGTGCCGTCGAGAGCTGGCGCAGGCGGCAGCGCCTCGACGGCGTCAAGTTCATCCTGCCCAACGCGCCCATGATCCCCATCACAGTGGTGAGCTCCGCTTCTTCTTTCCGCCCGCCTCCTTTTTATGATTCTCTCTTCATCACGAGCAATTCGAATCGCTGACTTGGTTGAACAGAACGGCGGCATGGCCATGCCCGGTTGGTTTGATCTCGTAAGTCGAGTCTCCCGCGTTCCCTGCCCCCTGAAAAGACGGAAGCAGCCACACAAACTTTCCTACCCTGATCACTGTTTCACCCTTTCCTGTACCGAAGTGTACGCCCTGCTGAACACGCCAGCGAACCCGGGCTGACACCAGACCCCAGAGCGTCCTCGACGGCACCGTCGAGTCGCTGCGCCAGAACGAGGACGACGCCGGCGTCCGCGTCTCGACCGGCTACTTCCACGGCCTCATCCAGGCCGAGGTCGACGCCGGCATCCCCTCCGACCGCATCGTCCTCGGCGGCTTCTCCCAGGGCGGCGCCATGGCCCTGTTCGCCGGCCTCACCGCCCCCGTCAAGCTCGGCGGCATCGTCGGCCTCAGCTGCTGGCTGCTGCTGAGCAACAAGTTTGGCGACGAGGTCAAGGAGGAGGCCAAGGCCGTCAACAGGGACACCAAGGTCTGGATGGGCCACGGTGGTTCCGACCCCCTCGTGCGGCCTGAGCTCGGCCAGATGAGCGCCGAGATGCTCAAGAAGCTCGGCTTTGATGCCACCCTCAAGATCTACCCCGGCATGCCGCATTCCGCCTGCCCCGAGGAGCTGGACGACGTCGAGGCCTTTCTGCGAGAGAGACTGCCGGCCCAGTGACTCGCCAGTCTTTTGAGTTGATCACCACGTGCGAACAAAAGAACAAGAAGGGTGCCCGGTGGTGTGCCCGCGTCAACATGAATAAAGGTGCTAGCGTTCAAAGTCGACCAGTGTACACATGCCATCTCAACGCTCCGACGTCGTTCATCTGTTTTTCTACAAAAGTCTAAAGTCTAGAGACTGTTCAACTGCGTACTACCCATTTCGTGCCTTCCCACCCATTACGCCCCCAGACTCAAAATCAATAACGATGCCATGTCAGAAGTATTGTCAACCAAGAGCTGATCGCCTCTTGGCAAGGAAGCCTCTGCTTCCCTCTTATATATGATCCAGTCTCGGGTGATCCAAGGAAAATATCGTACAAGTCCGTCAGATGAAGGCCCCTGTCTCGTCACTTCCTGTGATTTGCCTTCGACGACTGCTTAGAAACATGTCCACCATGCGCTGACTGCCTCCCATCTTGGCATTCTCCTCCCCAACATGATTTGGCTGGCATTCGTCCTCTCCAGCCATGAGTTGCGAAAGTCGAGGACAGGCCGCGGCGTTGCTGCCACGGGCTACAGGCGAACCCAGCTGGGTCGTTTGGCCAACAGCCGCCAGGGGGGTTGCACTCGTCGAGATCACGTCGACTCTCGGCCGGCTGCGCCTTACGAGCTTCACCGGAGAAGCGCTCCTCGCTACTCCAGGGGGCATCGCATTTTCCTTGTTGGTGACTGACTTGGAATGCATATCCGGCAGGGTGTTGACGCTGCGAACAGTTCGAATCGTTGATGGGTTGAATTGACCGGTTGAAGCGATAGTCGCCGAGATAGGTATGGAGTTGAGAGGCCTCAGCGAGCTTCGCGTGGGAACGATCGGAGGTTGAAGTTTGTGAGTTGGTGGTTTAGGGGTCGCGAGCGTACTGTCTGGAGGCACTACCTTATTGGAAGGGCCGGCCAATGTTCTCGACGAGTGGACAGAGTCTGAGGACGTCATGGGCTCTCCTTCCACAATATCCGCCCTTTCTCGCACATGTCCGAAGGGGTTTGGCATGCTCGGCACCGTGAGCTTGAAGCCGAATTTACTTCCATCCCTAGCATCGTTCGTGCCACTTTCTCGCTTCGATACATGCGAAGCCAACTGGGTCTTCCATTCAACCGAGGAAGCGGCTGAGACGATTCGGTTCAGCGACACAGAAGGTGTGATCGTCCCTGTAGCCTTGGCTTCATGAATATTTGACCCTGTTTCGCATCTCTTCGCTGCCTTGAACGGAGGTATGATTTGACTCGTGAAAGTAGCTGGGCTATATATGTGGGCCTCGGTGGCAACGTTCCCCCCCAAGTGAACAGATGGCGACTGGTCGTGTGAGTATGTGCTCTCTGAGTAGATCGTATTGGCTTGGGGCAAGGCTGTCTCTCGAATGATGGACAGTCTATGATGCGCCTTGTCGTTGCTGATGATAGAAATAGCAGAGTTTGTCCAGCTCGTGACGCGAGATTTATCGTCCAAAGAATTGTGCGCCTGTTCGCTTCTGATGCTCTCCATGCTGGCCTGGCGGGACCGGAGCTTTGAGCTTGATGGAACTGCATGCAGAGATGGGATCCGGGATAGGACCCGTGCTATGGAGCACTTTTCCGGCTCAGCATCCACGACATCCATGTAATCATCTTCTGCTTCAGGTTTGCTGACTGATTGAGTGGAGGGGTTCTGCTCTTGTTTGAGCCCTGGGGAGGACCTTTGCAGCGACGCGGAATCATCGTCGTCTTTCGCGCGACGAAACAAGTTCCTAAGTTTGGTCCTGAGACCATTTGAAACCTTGCGCACTGTTTTGCGAATGCTTGCATCTTTGGATGGATGGAGGGCGTGCGAAGCTGAGAATGCGAGTGAAACACCTGTGCTAGCATTGCTGGTACTGCGGAGTGACTTTCGGAAGCCCGACGAGGTGTGGCTCGGCTGCCTTGTCGTGTGGAAACAGATTGAAGATTGCGCTTTGAGTGCTTCTTGTTTCTGGACTTGCTCGCGGAATTTCTCTCTGGCGAGCTGTACGGCGAGATCGCTATGATGTTGTCGTTTTTCCTGCTGCTTGTTGTTGCGGGTCTTGAGGAAGCTCATCGACTTGGGAGTGCGAAGACCCTGGCTTAATGTTGATGAGGGCCGAGATGAATGATCTCTTTGAATCTTTGTGGTGGAAAAACTCTGTCGTTTGTTTCGGTTCGGTGTATGACTGGTAAAGTAGTAGCTTGGAGTTGGCTTTGATGGCCTTGCCGGCTCGTGGTTTGGCGGCGGCACAAGCATTGATCGGGATTTGCGGAGATGTCTTGATACCGACATCATGGAAGCCCTTTCATCTTCGAATCGGTCGTATTCTCGAGCAGAGTGCATCGAGTGTAAAAAGCTAGCATTGTAATCGGATACAGATGGCGGCCTTTGCCTTGAGGATGCACGACTGGAAGGACGATGCTCATCACCACGAGGAAGGCGATGATGCCAAGAGCTAGCATGATCAAACGACGATCGTGCACTGGGGCATCTCTGGAGACTGCTGTGGTCAAAGGAGGCACGTTCCATGGTTCGATTTGTTCCCGACTTCCTTCGGCAGCGGTCCATTGATTGTCGATGATTTGGATCAATAGACCGCCTCGAGTGGGGATCCAGCGATGGTCTCGGCCCCAGGTCATTGTTGATGAGTCGAATGCTTTGGCGACGCCGCAAGTCGTAATCACCAGGACGGTGTATATTGCTGTCGTCGCGAGGGAGGCCGTGCCCATCCCATGATGGTCGCTCCTCCTCCGGGATTTCCGACCCCATTCCGGGATTGTAGCAGAGTTGTGCTGCGATGAGAGCGTCTCGTTGAGCGACAACCGGGTCAATATGTTCAAGCCGTGAAACAGCTGACCGGAACGAGGTTGATGACTGGCTGCGACTTAGACCAGATCGACGTCTGGAGCTTTTTCGGCGAAGCATGGAGTCAGAATGATGGCGTCGCAGGATCTGATGTAAGCGGCTATGTTTATGGAAGCTGGCTCGAATGGCGGGCTACCTGTTAGTACGACACGAGAATATCGAGACTTCGACTGACGCTGCTGAAAGCGCGCAGCTAACCAAAAGTTGGGGATTGATGTCAGGCTGGATGAAGACAAACAGGAGAGGCGATCGGGGATGTTGACGTGGGAAGAGAATCTTGATGGACAATTCCAAGTCACCGCGTCAAAGACCGGGCAACAACACCGTTGGATGTTTCTGCCATTGCGAGCGGGTGACCGTGCCATAGCCGTTCTCGATTTCCTCGTCAAGAAGCACCGACATGATGTGGACAAGTCGGGAAGGGGCTACCGGGGTGATGTGTCTGGAAAAGCTTGAGAGTGATAGCCCGTATGAGTAACATCAACCAGTGGCTCCTCCTTCGTGAGATGTGTCGACCTCTTGCAAAAAGGCATCCTCGAGACATTTCGACCTAGGTAGCCACAGGTGGTGCAGCACGTACCAAACATACATTCGCAAGGCCTGCGCCCTGGATACGGAGTAGATACGAAGTACCCAAGCCTATCATGCCTTAGGAGCCTAGGTAGGCATGAGGAAGGTGAGTTGTGCAAATCGGTTGATTGGATCGGACCGGGATATCATTACAATTACCATCTAGTGTTCATTCTGTAGGGCGTTATCCTCCCCGTGTGAGATCTGGCCGTTGACTTCCATAGGCCCTCCAAGAGAACAAGTTCAATTCATACATTATTCAGTTCCTTCATCATGTCGAGTTCTGCCGTGATCGCGTCTCACTCGTTGAGCTTCCTGTTGAAGCACACAGTGTCGAGCCGCTGGTAGTTTTGTAGCCTTCATCTTCTTCCTCTTCAATAGTCGGACTGCATGGCTCCCAGGCCGTTGGAACATTGGGCAACTTGCCCTCCTTAATGGGCCTACCTCGCTCGTGAACCTGTAGAGAGCTAGTCAGTATTTACAGCTACCTGACGTGAGAGGGCAAGGGCGGTTGCCAACCTTGCAAAAACCACATCGGTCTCCGAACCGAGTCGCAAAGTTGCGGCACTGGATGGATCCCTGTTGTAGCGGTAAGCATTGGTTTTCCCACTGCCAAGTTTCCTCAGACATACGTAATAGTTAGAGCAGTAGACAGACATTTTTAACATCTGATTCTGGCAGTGACATTGTTGGGAGAGCGACTCGTCGAACAAGGTGAACGTTGACGCACCACTGATATATCATCTTCTTATGCAAGGAAGATAAGCACGTCACACACACGCTAGATACACAACGATCGCGGATCTGCAAGGTGCCCAGTGATACGCACCTCAACCGATCTGAAACGACTCTTTTATTGGCGGTGGTCCTATGACGCCCGCATAGCTATCGGGGAAAGATACTTTCCAACGCGTCTCCACGACAGAAGGCACGCCGATGACAACTCAATCATCCATACGGTGGCCGCTCTGGCTTCTAAGATAGACTCGGTTCCAGACCTTGCCTTGACCCCGCTCCCATCGCTGCTGTCATCCGCAAGCAGGTTATCGGCGCAGAAAGGCCGAGACGATGGGGTCGCTAGCTCCGAACGGCGCCTGGACAGCAGCGCCGGGGCCGGCACGGAGGGCAAGGGGCCAGGATGAATCTTGCGCGGGCAGGCTGACGCAGACGGTGCCTGGGCCATTCTGATTTGAGAAACAATGGTTGCAGCGGTTACGCTCGTCGCATTGCGACGGCAACTTGTAGATCTGGAAGTTGCTTGGCTGTCGTTTGTCCTGAATAACTGGGGCGAACTTGCAAGGCTCCATGAATGACGAAACGTCAACTGCACCCTGACGGTCTCGTCTTGCCTCAGTTCCATCAATCATGGTCTGATGTCAATGTGCTCCTGAACTCTGAGCATCTGAATGGCCTCCCGATGAGCGAGCAACTATATGTACATGTATTGAAGGTTGCGGGCCCTCACAAGTTCGTTGGAGGTGGACGGTACTCGCACTGTGCCAGCAGCGACAGCACGCACTATGCGTTGCTAGTTTTCGCACGATATTTCGGCAGCGGGCTGGTCAGAGCACAGTGCTGATCGACTATGCAGCACAAAGCCGCACGGTCTTCCCTAAGCTTGTGTGGGTCCCTATAAATTAGATTATGTACGAACTAGCTCCATCCATTTGGCGGAAACTTTCGACGAAACCTAAGCTTTCATCATCAACATCACCAGCTACGCAACCATCCGCGCATACAACGTAGCCCACCTTATCCACCTTCAAACTGCCACACCGGGGACAGTTGAGGCATCAACTACCGTTCCAATTGAAACCTTTCGTCTCTTTTCCGCGAAAACCGCAAGCACCGCCGCCTGCCATGGCCTTCGGCAGCAAGCGATTCGTCCCGGCGTCCGACGCCAACAGCATCGCTGCTAAGTACCGATCCCAGCTGGCCCGCCGGCCGTTCCTCGTCTTTGGGCTCCCCTTTATAGCGATCATGGTCGCCGGCTCCTTCGTCCTGACTCCCGCCACGGCCATTCGTTACGAGAAGCACGATCGCAAGGTCCGCCAACTGACCAAGGAGGAGGAACTCGGCCTTCGCAAGAGCGCTCGCCGGGTCGACATGCGCGAAGAGTACTATGTGCGTAGCCCAGTCTTGGTCCTCCAAATATCAGGAAGAAAAATATCAGGGAGAAGAAGAAAGCTAACGAACGAGGAACAGCGTCTCCAGGCAAAGGATATTGACAACTGGGAGCAGAAGCGCGTCAAGCGCCTCCCTGGCGAGCACGATGGCATCATTGGCGAGTAGACCAGCAAGTAGTCGATGCAGGAGCAGAAAATAAGAGCGTCACGATCGAGCGATATGAATCAGGGGTTCTTTGCATATCTCGGGAGTACTGCCGACACACGGGGGAAAAGAGGGACGATCTGTCAACACACCAGAAAAAAAAGGACACGCGACGCCCGGCGGATCAGCCACCACACCCCCCTTTCCCGGCATACAGTAACGTCGAGGGCCGATCGCTTCACCGCGATCTACTGTTTGGTTTCACCTCTCCTACTATGGTGTGTGGGGAGTGCACCACGCGCCGACAGGGAACTGGCATCTACGGACGAAACAACGACACATCCTGAACACGAACGGATCAATTATTCCTTTGCATCTATCACGGCCGCTCGCCGGCCCTCGTCGCGCCGGAAGGCTAGGACACAGCTCGGGCACGCAACACGAAGTCGCGACCCGGTCCGATTTCGAAGGAAGGGTGGTCCGATACACACTTTTTGCAGGGCCTGCGCTGCGCCCAATCCCATTCATCCGTGCTCTTGGCCCGCCAAGACTTCCCGCGAGCCCGTCCACGCTCGTGCGACAGACAGGTGGACGTTCGCCCCGCACGCTTCCACCGTCAATGCTCCCAGAAACAAACAAGTTATCGAGACCAGGACACCCCTCCTCACGACAGCTTCGCGCTTGCGCCCGTTGATGTTTGGGGCGTGCTCTGGCACGCTGAGAAGGGAGAGGGGTGTGGGACAGCAGCCTTCGACGTCATCCCGGGCGCGTGGCCGTTTGAGAATATACCCCACGGCCAAAACTTCACGTACGAAGCAGTGACCAGCAGGTGGCCAGGGAGAGACAATCCCGCGGATCTCGTTGTCGATCACTTTCAAAAAAAAAATCTTTCTTAGGGAAGAGGAGGGATTCATTGTCTGTGGTGCTGGTCGGGGGGGAGGTACTCTAGTGGATGGAGGAGGGGCGAAGGCGTTGGGGGATGGGAGAAGTTACATGGGGGCGAATCGCAAGGAATGTAAATGAGCGAGGGAAACGGGCTCCTTTGTGTGTATGCTAGGTAAAGCGCATGTCGCGGAAGACATCTGTAACGGCTCGGAATAGAAAGATGTTCAAAACAGCACGGGGTCTACATTCCATCACGATCGTTTTTTACTCCAGAGCCAGGACGCGTCGTGAGGCAGTGTTCCATCGTCAGCGTCATGTCGGGGTCTTGTTCTGTGTTCATCCTCGACGTGAGAAATGACTCATGGGAACAAGGCTGCGTCCCTTGCAGTTGGAGTCTCGGGTGTTTGGACCTTGACTTGCAGCATACGTCAGGTGTCCCGAGCAGTCAAGGCGACCATCGGATGAAAAGAACCCAAAAAAGGGCAGACAGCTGCCAGCGTCTGATCGTCTCGACTGCATGAGGTGACCGGCGACGGGATCGAGATGGAGAATACAGCACGACTTCGAGGCTATCATCAAATCAAGCGGTTGGGCCTTTCGCTCGGAACCAAGCGGCCAGCCAAATGCAGGGAGAGAGGACCATGTTTTTGTTTCTTCACCTCCATTACATCATAGGGTATCATGATCAGAACCTGCCAAACAAGAGACCCCATGCACATGGTGTAGTGATACCTAGCCTGATTGACCGGCTACTGGACGGGAAGGCATGACTGGAGTGTCTGGTCGAGGCGGCGTTGTCTGATGATTATCTGACACGAAGCCGCGTAGACAATAGCCTTGAGCAGAAGATGGGCATCAAGCTCGGGGCCAATGGGAATGGTCGGCAAGGATTCCTGTCTCAAGCTAGGGTCACACGAACACAACTGCTGGCCATCAGTGTGTGTGTGTGTGTGTGTGTCGATCGGGATCATCAATCAGGAGCGAAAGCTGCGAGATTAGGAGGAATGGGATGAAGAAAAGAACATGCCGAGATGAGAATCCCAGGACAGACAATCCGATAGACTGTCAGAGAGAGGAAGAAGCAACGAAAGCATCGTCCCAGCGAACGGATCCAAGATCGATAGCTCGCATCAGATTGCCGAAGGGGAGGAGAGCTGAAGCGAAGCGATGGACTAGCTGAGGCTGACGATGGGCTTGCCAAATCCCCACCTCGTCAAGTGCCATGCTTTGGGCAGAAAAGCCCATGCGAAATGCAGTATGTTCTTCCTTTTTCCATTCTTCTTGGGTGTCTTGGTCGACGGCCGCTGGGGTCCCGGATGGTCGGTTTTCGTGTCACAACGAACTTGAACCGATGATTGCTTCGATCGGGACGCATGTCTCGCACTCTGTTTCCTGAAGACCATCGAGCAATTCTTTTTACTGGACAATTGAACCGGATGATTGAAGGCCGAGCACACACGCACCCACACCACCGCTCTCAATCAATTTTTTTTCCTTTCTTTCTTCGCTCGTTGCCTGCTCCTTCACGCCCGGCGGTGAGGATGAAGGACCGTCATTTGGTTTCCCATATTTGGCAGGAGAGAACAACGATGGCGATTTGGTGGCGCATCATGAGGAAGAGGGGGCTCTGCCAAGAAGAGGGCAGATTCGCGGTGATGATGCATAGGAGGAGGCGAAAAAGAACCCCTGAAATGCCAGACAGCGAAAGGAGGAGTGTTCCCAGGGTGGCCGCACAAACCGACGACGATCTTTTGCCGCACGGAAGACGCGAGGCCGGTAGCAGCCATGTTATCCCCGGCGGCAAAAGCTCTTCCTGGCCTTGTCTGCCCAGTTTGCCTGCTTCCGCTCCGTGGTGTCGGCGCGGGCCATGGATCATGACTCGAAATGGGGTCACAGGAAGGTTGAAGATGAAGAAAGATGAAGATCAAGACAACGACTTAGTCAAGGGGATGACCGCCAAGCCGAGTGACCTGTGCCTGTACCTGGAATTGACGGCACGAATTTCACGCTGCTGTGAAGTATGGCGTCGAACGGGAATGGGTTGATGGGTCAGATGGGCAAGGGGAGAGGGTGGGACGGAGGGGCAGGGGTGGGGGCGCTGATGGTGCTGGCTGACCGATGGTCTCTGGCTTGTCTTGGATGGATGATGAGCAGCCGCAAGCGGTTGAGGCTGGTGGTGACACCTCACGTCTCTCCACCCGGATCTCACCTCACCTCAGCCAGAGACGGCTCGCTACCAGTCTGGCCTGGCCTGGGCGCCTCTGGCAGGTGGGCGTGTCCCGATGGCGTTGAATCTTAAGTGCTCGCAGCCGATATTGGATTTCCAGGGACAAAGGGCGGACGGGACCCGATGCGATGGGCTGAGGACGGAGAGACCGATGAGCTGAGGTGTGGACTGGGGAAAACTAATGGGAGCCCGAATGTGACGAGTAGCGATGGCGGTCACGGCGGACAAGAACGGCGTTGTTTCCCCCCTGCCGGGCCCTGATGTGGCTGGTGTGGCTTGCAGTCACCTCGAGGGGCTAGCATCCAAGCATCCTAGCATCCCCCAGCGTGCGGGGGATGCAGCCTTAGCGGTGATGGACGCTGGACCGCTCCCACGTTGCGTTCCTTTAGCGGTACATGCAGCGCAGACCGCCCTGAAGCCACAGGCGCCTTAGGGGCGATCGTGCCTGTCTTCACCGTCTGGCACTCGATCTCCACCAGGCTGCTGCACTCCTCAACTCTGCAGGACCAGATCGACACTACCAACTCATCACCACCAATCCAATGAATTGTACACCCCCTCACCTCCTCGGCACGACTGGCCTTAGGTGCATCATCAGCAGCATTACGATCCCTCCTCACAGTAGTCTGCAGCCTGCGAGCTTGCCAGACCCTCTGAATCACCCCCTTCACCGGCCAGGTGATCAGCAGATCTGCTGCGCCGTCGTCTCTCGTTAACAAACCTCACATCACTTAACAGACTGTGGTGTGAAACCCTGGGTCACAGCCTCGTCCACTCAGCATGGAGCGATCTGGTTGGATCTGTCCGAATCCTTGCCTTGCATTGTCGAGAAGTGTCTCTACCGCCGTCACTCGCACGTTTCTTGCTGCTATCCACATATTTCATCCATGTTTCGAACAGGACCAGCCTGTCCAGCTCGTCCTCTTGGGCGACTGATGAGAACAACACACTGACGCGCCTGGGCCATACATGATCCCTCCAGCTGTGAAACAAACTCCCCATCGCGATCGCGACCGAGTCGCTACAGTTTTCCCCCTTTGGCACCAGACGAGGCTCACCCTGCCCGAAAGCCCGAATGGCCTCTTCTCGACCTCCCAAAGAACATGACGTATGAGACATGTCTGAACGCTGAGCGTGCGGGCAGGCGACCAGCGAGCGACCGGCCCTGTCGAGGCCAGTCGAGACCAGGCACGAACCATACCAGACTCCCGCCATGTCTGATTTTGGATTTGCACTTGTCGTCGGCCCCTTAGCAGACCTGAACGCTTGGACGCCAGAAATCGTCTCAAGGCTAAGTCATAGTCCAGAGACAAACCCTCGCGGAAGAGGACTCAAAGGTGGGGAGCAGGAAAAACAAGAGCATTCATCACGATCCTGGGGCCGGACCTGCCGTCGCCCTGTCGCTCTGTCGCGTCCTCACACCACTTTGGCCGGATCCGGCTCTTGGGTACGAGGATTGGCTCGGCGAACCAGCTGACGGACCTGGCATTTTGCCCAGCTCTATCGCCTGGCTCTGCTCCGTAGCCTCCAGGCAACTCATCCTCTTGCGACAACGCGGTTGGCCAGTCTGTCTCTCTCTGGCTCGTGGTGTCGCACCTTCGCATCGGGCGTGCATCTCCAAGCAAAAGTCATCAGTCAAGGTGCCTTTCGTGGTGAGGGCGAGCCTCGTCAGCTTCAGAGCGAGCCGCGGCGATGTCCACCCACCCACCCTCTCGGAACAGGCTGGTGTTGCGGGCTATCCTTGGAGCCATCACTATTGTGCCTTCGGCCTTTGAGTTCACTTGGCCTCTCGACCACTCACACGCTACAAGTGGCCGCCCGCCAAACTCGAGCGTCGCCCATGATGCGGCGGTGAGTAATAGACACACCGCCGAGCCACGGCCTAAGGCGTTCCTAGACACCTAGCGCG